GATGTAAGATAAAGAGCAGGCATAGTTTCCATTTCAAGTCCACAAAACAAACAAAACTGTGGGAAAAGAGAAATTGTCACACTTCCCTTGTCAGTTACATGGCCTGATATTTGCTTAACATAGTTTGATTTGGGGGATTTTATGTTTGTGAAGACAAGACATCCTACATGGAATCAGAGCAGCCTCAGATTCTCAGCAAAAGCCCTTGCCATGGATCATGTATGTGATAGAGTTTTAGTTCTGGAAAGTGTCACTGGATAGCTATCTAGTGGTCAGTCAGAACAGAAAGTCGTGCCAATTAACTGATTGAATGATTGATTGATTCAAAAAACAATGAGCTTGAATTATGGGCCAAGCACTTAAAAAAATAAACATTTATTTTTATCTGAGAGGCGGAATTACAGTGAGAGAGAAGAGACACAGATCTTCCATCTGCTGGTTCACCCCTCAGATGGTCACAATGACAAGAAATGAGCTGATCTGAAGCCAGGAATCACAAGCTTCTTTCATGTCTTGCACATGCATGCAGGGGCCCAAGGATTGGAATTGTTCTCCACTGATCATTGACAGGAAGCTGGATCAGAAGCGAAGCAGCTGAGATTTGAACTGTCATCCATATGGGATGCTGGCACTGCCGGTGGAGGATTAAAGTGCACCCCATGCAAGCCCCCGGAATTTTACTTTTTGACACTTATTCTTACCAGTGAAGACTATACAATGTGAAGTTTACATTGACATAGGATTAGAGGGATTCTATAGAAGAACAGAAAAATTATAAGATTATGCAAATACCAAGGAAAAGTGAAGGGGCTGAGTTAGTACAGTGTTTCCAGAAGGAAAGAGGTCTATTTTAATGTGGAAGAATTCAGGGAAAGCATTTTTTAAGATGGCATTTACGTGCTTAAACTTTTAAAAGAGAGGTAGACACTCTAAAATACAGGAAGTAATGACTAAGTGTAGTACTCTGAAGTAATAATGGTTTGCTCAAAGTCCATGATATAAGGGTTGGGCATATCCCTACAGCAGAGTGACTGAGGGAGTCGTGGTGAATTCATTGTGGAGAAGCACGCCATCTTTGACTGCTTTCCCAGTCCACAAGCAGGGAGCTGGATGGGAAGCGAGATGCAGGCATTAGAACTGGCACCCATATGGGATCCCAGCACGTTCAAGGTGAGGACTTTAGCTGCTAGGCTACCATGCCAACGCCCTAGATAGTTTTTTATTCCAGTTATTTTAAAAATAATTTGACTTTTATTTTACTTGTTTTCTTCAGATGTAGCATACATTCTTTAAGTTGTTTCTCTTTCTCATTTCCTATAGGTTTTCATTTTTTTTCTTTCAGGATAACTGCACTTCCTTCTACTCGTACTATGTATTTATATTCAGATTTAGTAGAGAATTCATTTAGTGAGAAACTGAACAAGAGATAACTGAATAAACCCAGAAGTTGGATAGGTGAACAGAATAACATTTCAGACCTTATTTGGGGAATATACTTTTAACTTGCTGCACAGTCAGAGAAGGCAAACAGAAGACTCATGTAAATGTAGGTGGATTTGATGGTGGCGAATGGTCTGTTTTCAGATGACTCCTATGGCTTCAGTGAAAATGAATGTAAAGAGTTTGTGGGCAGAGGGCATGTTATAAAATAAGCACCTTGGTGTTAGAAAGTAAATCAACATCAGGAACATGATGGATTTTGTGATCGAGGAGAAATCTTATCTTCAAGAATGTCATCTGATTTTTACGAATAATACACAGGCTATTAGAATGCAGAAAGAGAGATAGTTGAGAGTTGTACTTAACCAAGTTCAGGTCTTTCTAAACGTGATAGAAGTTAAATGTGATAGAAAAGAAGCAGAGCATAAGTTGCTTCAAAGGGAATAATTGTGGTAAAGTCCTATCAAATCTAAGGGTGATGAGGAGATGAAAGCAAGAGTTTTAATGGATAGTGAAAAAGTGATAGTCCATGGAATGAATATTCTATGAGGCTGAAATGCAAAGGATTGCAGTACCATTAATTAGTGGTATACATTGCCTAACTAACAGAAATGAGTGTGCTGGTGAATAGGTTTGTAGGAATGTGGCAATTTCATTACATACAAGAAGATACAGCAACTACTAAACCACACTGATGGATGATTCACATGATCGCATGGCAGGGATATGTGTGGACGGCGTGATGGATCCAGGAACTGTCAAGGAGCTCAAGCTATTAACAATAGAGAAAGGATAATGGGAACTGATAAATGTCATGAATTTCAGAATGGATACTATATTAGAAAGCTACCGAGAAGAAATCATTTGGGAGAACATCTTTGGTTTATACTCCTAAGAAGACAGGTAAAAGGACCACAGTTGATAATATGTATCAGAAATTATTTCAAATCAAATAAAGGAAAATCTTCCAAACCAAAGAGATCTAATGCAGGTTAGTAAGATGTATATCAGACATGAAAGATTGAGAGGTAGAGGCAATAGTTACAATTAGGGAATGCAGGTAGCAGAACGCATATGGCTTAATGGTACGAATGGCAAACATTGACTTTTAAGATTGGACTAGTTGCCCATGATGCAAAATGCACTTTATCTGCTAGTTCTTTACAGCAAGACAGATCAACACTGCAGGTAACAGTTTTGTTATTTGTAACTGGGGGATTAGGATATATAAATCTTCTATATTCCTGATGATGTGGCCTTTTGGGTCTAAAGGCAAGAGCAGGCCACAGGCTGCTGTTAGAATGACTGCTGCTCTCTGTTCATCACTGATGCAGAACAAAGAGTAACTAACCACTAGAAGACTGTGGTTCGTTATATTCATTATCATAAAGCAAGCAGAATGGTGTTCAGTCAATGTTGTAGAGCTGCAGCAAAAAGGGTTTTGTAAAATGTTTTTGGAGTTTAGGGGTATAAATCTATGAAGACTCAGTAACTAGGTAGTGTAACTGGTCAAAACAACTGATCCTCTGAGACTCTGATAACCCAAGTTGGATTCTATTAAGAAAATTATCATGAGAGCTGGAGATACTTGCCAGTAATAAGAGAGGCTGGAGCTGGTAATTTATCCTCCCTCACTGTTCAGTGGTGATTAGGTCCTGTGATTGCTACAAACTTGAGCTCTGAAAGTTGAAAATAGATTTTGAACTGTTGAAAAGAGTCCAGAGAAGATTAAGGAAATCATTTGAGAAACTGTCAACTTTTATAAGGAAAAGGAAATGTCTATGTCCTTGGAAAGAGAAAATGTTCCGGAATGATCATTTTGGGTTTGAATTCATTCTAGGATAAGTAGTTGGCTTTTAAGTTGTCATGAAATTTGGATTTCAGCTGTGTTAGTAGATGATGTTCAAAAACCTAGGGAAGTTTCATTTAAACGCTAATAGGGTAACAAAGGGAAGTATTAAAGTATCCTTCCTGAAAATAGTATTACTGGTTGTGCTAGAGCTCTTTTGGAAGCCCTCCGGAAGCAAGGGAGTGGAAAGAACTGCACGGATTCTTCTGGACGACAATGGGTCTCCTGACTATGTGTACACAGATATGGATTCAACGACAAGTTTGGCTTCCTTTTTCTTTGTATCTTGTGTGATGGTGGATGATCTAATGTCTGTGTCTGTTTTGTCACCTGTAAATAATGACAACCACTATGGTTAAAAGATACTGAGAAACTTAATAGTGTATGAAGACCCCTAACTCACTGTGGGACTTCACTGCTAAATAGAGCCAGCATGGATACTCAGCTTCAGGCATCCTTCCGTTAACTAGTCTGCAAATATCCTGGATTCTGTATGCGTCTCAGAGAAAAAGTCTGATGAGGTGGGACTTCAAGAATGCTAGCTGCAAGACATCCTTCCTCTGCTTCGAGAGGCTCAATAGTCTTCATAACTTATTTACCTTGTTTTTGTTCTAGATCCGATTGGTTCTGTGAAAAACAATGTGCAGTAGGAGCAAATCATTTGGAAGCAGGATTGGCCGATAGGGATGATGAATGAGAATGGCCCGAGGAGATTAATTACGGAGAACTTTCTGTGAAAGGAAAGGTTGTAGATAGAGACAGAAAGGGGATGAGAAAGTACTGGAGACCAAACTTCTGCTCCCCATCTCTGTGCCAAAACCCAAATGTAGTTTGCATTTAACACAACTATTCATTTTTTATAATATAGGAAAAATTCTAGCAACAGAAATAAAAATCACATGCCCTGCTATCTGTAAAATCTACAGGAATGCGAAACGCAAGTTTTGTCTTCCTCCAAAATGTTCGATGTAAACTGAGCAATAGAAATGTAATACATATTTTTCTACATTCTCGCAATAAAACTCAGGTTTACAAACCAGGTCAGTTCTTACAGACTAAAACAAATCATCCATTCTGTGCGATAATTTTTTACTGTAATTTGATTTGTCTGGAACTGATAGATAAAAGAATGGAAAAGGGCCTGCTTTCCCTCCCATAATCCTCAGACTGTATTTATGCATTGCTTCAAGAAATAGGTTTTTCGGAATATTTTCATGCACAAGGTTCATTGTTCAGTGTTGTCAAAGGGTTCCAAAAAACTAGAAGAACTTGGATACCCTTATTTATGTATTTATTCATTTATTTTACCCAACAATAAACAGGTAAGTCTTTAGCAACTTTACTTAGATTTTGGTGAACATTAATACAAACTGAAAAGAGTAATTATTACTTATTAGAATATTACAAAAGAGCCATATTTAGTATGACTGCATCTATTAATGCATTTTGTTAACCAGTGAATATGTTAGAGATATGTTAAAATCAACTACATTTGCTGAAAAATTTAAGGTGACACATTGGCATTATATTTCCATTCACATAACATCAATAGCTTTACATACTCTGTATTTTGGATTATGTTATTTACTTTTGGTGACTATAAAATAATTTGGGGTTTTTAAAAACTGAGAAATATTGCTCAAGTTTAATTTTTCCAAACAAAAAGTTGACTGTTATAAATTCCACCTCCCACAGACCAGAATTCACTACTATTGGTCAGGGGCAAATACCACTGGCTGTGCGTCCTCAGTCACTCTGTGCCACTTCGCCAGGTTGGAGCCAAAGGTAAGATTGTACACTTGCTTTCTTCTTGGGCTGGAAATTCTTCCCTTACTGTAACAACCTTTAAAAATTGTTTGGCTTGCTTTAATATTTCCTGGTGAACTTTGATCTAATGTATTTGGTTTAATTTTATGATGAGCTTTATATAATTTTTAGAAAACAAAACAAAAACTTAATTAGTTTAGGAACTAATAGATGTCAATAAAATGATGATAGCTTCCAATAAAAGAAAATTATGAGAGCTTCCAATAAATGCTCTAAATCAAGAACACTATATTTTTTGCCAGTACAGACAGGGACTATTGCTTAATACTGATTAATCAATAAGTCAGTTTTGTGACAAATGAAAACATAGTGATATTTCATGCTTTTAAAAATACTCTAATGATCATATGGGACTAGACATTTATAAGGTATCTTAAGCTAAATATATTAAAGTCAAGTAACATTTTCAAAATATGGAATTGATGTAAAATAAATGGGCTCAAAGCTTTATCTAAGAAACTACATTAAGACTAGCAGAATATATTGAGGAGAGAAATGTAATTTTTTAAATACAGATTTCCTAATATTTTAAAGTTTATAAACAATGTCTTATTGCTAACAGCTTTTCTTAAGGCATAGGTCAAATAAGTAAAGTATTAAATATAGAGTATGGAGTAAGAAAAAGTCTAAGCAAAGTGAATAATTACCTTGAACAATTGAAGTTGTCAAAGATTAACAAAGAAAATATTTTGCAAGGTAACTGGTGATCACAGTTAATGCTTCACACTTGAATATGGGAGAATGAATCTTGGAAGGTTTGCAAATCAGTGTTTTATGGAACAAGGTTTATTGCTTATTTCTCAGAACAGCTCAAATGTGCAATCCTGCAAAGACTTCTGCAAAAGCAAGTGAAATACTGGCTTAGTTATCCCAGTGTGAATTTTAAAAATTATTTATGAAAAGCAGCAAGGATGAAAAGGAGTTCCTTGTACGGCTTCTTATTCTCAGAGGAATTTCATATCCTTCTGCCTAAACCTGCCTCATAAAGACTTTCTTTCAAGTAACTGGAGGTCAGTTGATCTTCCAGTTAACTCAAGTTTAAAAGTACTGTTTATCATGAATCCCCCTTTATACGGGTGCAGAGGTACAAACAGCATATCAACTGTTCTTGAAGTAAACAGAAGGAGTGGATCCAGAATACAAAAGGCTACAATTTTAAAACGTGTTTGATAAAATGTTGTGCAATACCTATGATCACTGTGTAATAATTTTGATAGGCCAACTTGAATGTTTAAAAAAAAGGAACAACTATTTTTCCCTCAATCAATGTATGTATGTTCAAAGGAGTACATAAAACCTAAAATAATTAAGATGATCAAATTTTGATGAAATCTTTCAAAAACATGATGTCATCATGGAAAAGAGAGCTTATTGATTATTTAAAACAAACAAGTGTCCTAATCCTGCATATGTTCAAGTCCTCTATTCAAGAAAATTTGCCAGTTGTCCCTTGGAAATTTCATTTGTGTTAAATATAAGATTAAACCATACGTAGCTACCACAATGAAATAAAATGGCAAGAATTAAAGGAAATTATCTTTCTGCTCCATTTTATTATGAGGATTTTGAAAAATATTGCATGAAATGTTAATATTTATATAAATATTAGATTATATTTCTATTTAGATACTTAGAGGAAAGAAAGAAGCAACAATGGGAAAATCTTCATTATATGGCTCTTAGGGAAAAAAAGCCTTAGTTTTGAATATGCATGAAAGAGTTATAAATACGTATATAGTTACATCATAAGTCAATTGTGTCTCAATTTCCCTACCTGAAAATGGTGTGACAGTTGAAGTCACCATCATCTTCATCATCAGGCCTGCAAACCACAGTTGATATAAAAATATTCATTTAGATGATAAAAGTCTTACAGTGAAAAGATTTGTGAATGAGAGTACCACAAATTCTTTCTGCACCCAGTTTTTTCCATTTTTTTCCTCTATGACATAGAATCAGTTTTGTTGTCCATAAACTATTCCCTTTAAAAATGTGGAGAGAATTGTGAGTGAATCTGATCATCTGGCACCAACAGCCCTCAAAAATCATATAAGCCATTTGTTATGCATACACATTACTACGTAATCAAACCTACCTGATTAAGTTTCTTGATATTGATACTGATTTATTATTCCTATCTAATAAAAGCTATTCATGAACTAATACCAATGAAATATTTACATAGTTTAATATTTTGTGTTTAGGAAAGTTTGAAAAATGAACCTTTTGGGAAGCCTTATTGTGGGACTTGTCATCTTGGGTGTGGCAGCAACGGCCCCAACTCCAGAGTCCATCAATTATGACTCAGAAACTTACGATGCTACCTTGGAAGACCTGGACCAAACATACAACTATGAACACATACCCATTGATCAGGCTCAGGTAAATTATCCCACCTCCTGTTGGGGACACTAAGCACTTTGGATAAGGGATCATTGATGTTTGCGATTCTTTTCAAAACAATTTTTTAAGCTTAAAAAATGTCATAGTAACTTTTCCTCTAGAAGATGGCCAATCTTTTGAAGTTTAATATTGGAAGTGTTTTTGCTTTCATGCAGATCACTCTATTTCTTCCAAATCTAATCCAAAAAATTTTATGAAAGAGTTTCTGTCAAGTTAGAATAGAGAAAATTTGGACAGCTAACCCATGAGGAATAAGTTTTTTTTTCATTGTGTGTATATATATTTTTAGTAATATGAGAAATGAGGACAGTTTGGGCGAAAGAAAAACCTGTGACATGAAAATAAATTGTAAGGAAGTAAAAATTGTACAGAGGAATTACAACGGTTTGGAACTTCATCGTGCATCAAGAGGGAATGTGCTTCTCTAAATGATTGATTGTTTTTCTGGCACTAATGTGGGCATTGGCAAGGTTGCAGCACATTACATAAATCTGATATGACATGTTCCTAATTAAATGCTAGACTTTTTACATAGCTAAAGGATTCAGGGTAATTTTTATGAGTCAGAAAACAAACAGACCTTGAAATGCTAGAGTATAGTTAATGTACAACATTGAGAAAATCCAATTAACTATAAATAAACAACAAAGTATATTTTATCACCTTTAATGGATTATAAAATGTTTTGGGAAATCTTTTAAGCACAAATATTCTTCAGATAACTATTTCAGATACTCAGGGCTACAAAATATTTAGGCAAAACCAGTAAACTTAACCGTATGGCAATTAAGCATATAGTGATTAAGAAGATATCAATTTTCAGTACTGTTTGCTGAAATTTTATTCATTTCAATAAGCAGCATTGCCTGTTGTCTTATAAAGTACAAGAGTTAGGGCCCAGCACGGTAGCCTCACAGCTAAAATCCTCACCTTGAACTCACCAGCATCCCATATGGCTGTCAGTTCTAATCCCGGCAGCCCCGCTTCCCATCCAGCTCCCTGCCTGTGGCCCGGGAAAGCAGTCGAAGATGGTCCAAAGCCTTGGGACCCTGCACCCACATGGGAGACCCAGAGGAGGCTTTGCGCTCCTGGTTTCAGCTTGGTGTAGTTCTGGTGGTTGTGGCCGTATTGGGAGTAAATCACCAGACGGAACATCTTCCTCTCTGTCTCTCCTCCTCTCTGTATATCTGGCTTCCCCATAAAAATAAATAAATATTATTTTAAAAATTCAAGAGGTAGATTTTTAGAAAACAACAGTTTATTTAACTCTTGTCCCTTCCCTTTCCCTCCTCTACCTTTCTTCCTCTCTCTCTTTTGATCACGCTAACTTCTCCCTGCTGCTCCTCATCTCTCTCTCTCTCTCTCTCTCTCTCTCTCTCTCTCTCTCTTTGAAGTTTCAGGCTCAACAGCAGATCACTTGCTTTCTCCATTTAAGCTGTGCTTTTATTTTCCACATTTTCTTAATATTCACTGTTTTATCCATTTCACAGTATGATTTCTTTTAAAGTACAAGTGCATCAAAAAAGATCATAAAAAGAAAGTCAATGGTTAACTCTTCTGCCTTGCGTATGTACTCTTACATTAAATTAAGTATTTTTGTTCAAACCTCATTTCTCAAAAAAGTGTCCCATGGGATCCAAGAACCCCGATGACTATTGTAAGTCTTCTCTTTTTGGTAGAGTTTGAGATTGGGGTCAAATGTTCTATTTCCTTCAGAAGACTCAAGCACAATAGAAGGGCTGGGGTTCCCTAGACACAATTTTAGAGTAAACATTTACTTTTAATTTAAAAAACAATAATTGTTTCTTTGTTAAAAGGCAGTGAGACAGAACAAACAGAGAGAGTAAGGAGCTCTTCCAGGAAACCCATCCAGGGGCCCAACATTTGAGACATCATTTGCTGCTTTCCCAGGTGTTTTCCTGGAACAGGAGCAGCCAGTTCTCAATCTGGCATTCACTCACTCCCATTCATCACAGTACTGGTTCCCAGATCTCACTGAACCCATTCTTCGGTCCAGAAAACCATTGGCATTCTCCATATTCTGAAGACTTTCACAGCATCAGCAAGCTGAAGTTAATAATCATTTCCCTAAAAACATGGTTTAATATACAAATTTTCCCTGATATTTACATATTCAGCAATAGCATCTTTCCTGCAAGGTTTTATATGTACGTATAAATAGGTCATCATATCCTTTCATGCTCTATTCCTTTCCCGATGCATTCTTAGTTTGAAGCACAGTTTTTCTAAACAGTTGCAGTTCTAGCCACGCTCAGAATCCTGAGCTGCCCTAGAAATACACTAGCAATCCCTGTGTCATGATTTAACAATCATTTGTGATGAACTCGCATCAGGAAACCACTCTACAGATAGGCAGATAGACATAAGTGTGGATTTCCAAAGACATGCACAGTAATGGAAAAACATGTTTTATGTCTTTACATATTTTATTTATTTATTTATTCATGAATGAATAAATAAGCTCAGAGATTTCTTGTCCCCCTCCTCAATATTATAATACCATAATCCTTAAAAGACAGTCACAAATCCATCATCCTGCTATTTCAGTGCATCTTGATATTGTAGGTCTAGACAATGCTAAAAAGCCCAGCACCCTATTATCAAGATGCATGCAACAGTTTCATTGGGAGTCCATCTTTAATTCAGGAGAAGAAATGCATAGTGCAATATATCTTCACTTCTTGATATGATAGTCTCTTTTTTACAGTTCCTCTAGATGAATATATACACATGCATAAATATCTAAGTATCTGTTGATGTTGTATTTTACATAAAAGGTTGCCTTGTATCAGAGAGAACATATGATATTTGCCCTTTTGGGATTGGCTTATTTCACTGAGCGTAAGAGTCTCTAGTTGGAACCATTTATTGCAAATGGTAAGATTTCATTTCTTTTGAATGGCTGAGTAGCTTTCCATAGAATAGATGTTCCACAATTCTATATATTTTAATTTTTAAAAAATATTCTTTACATTAAAGGCAACGAGAGAGAAAGTGTGGGAGAGAGAAGAGAGAATTCCATGTTTTTATACATTTTTGGGTTGGACCAAGCCAAAACCAGGAGCCAGGAAATCCCCATCTGGGTCTCCCATGTAAGTGTCAAGGACCCAAGCATTTGATTCCTTTTTTGCTGCCTTCCAGGTGTATTAAAAGGGGTTTGGATTAAAAGTGGAGCAGCAAGGACTCAAACTCATGCTTCATTATGGGATATTGGTATTGTAGGTAATGTTCTAAAAATAAAGCATTTTACTTACTCATTATTTTAAAGAAATGTATTAATGTATTAGGGTCACAGAAAAAAAAAAACACTACAACACAATTAGCACCAATTCTCATGTTGAACAATAATGTAAGAGAACAGATCCCATGAAGTTCATGAATACAGTTCTGAAATATAATTATTCTTTTTCTTTCTCTCACTCCCCTTTTCCTTCTATCCTTTGTTCCCTAATTTCATTTTTAGATAATACATTTTAATTTACATTACAGTTAAAGGCTTAATGTTCACTAAACAACGGATTCAAGAATAAAATACTGGTAGTTCAACAGGAATACAAAAGGGGTTATAAATAATAATCAAATGAGCAGATGTCCATTTAACTCATCTAAAACAAATTTCACAATAATCACTTTAAAACACAAAGAAATATAATATAAAACACCAGTACCAAAAGGTAAAAACTAATGCACTCATTACAAGAAAAAAATAGAGAAAAACATAAACAAGATAATAAAGACACAATGGAGAGTAACTTTCGGACAGTACTTAGGTACTCCAGTTGAGATATTCACAGATTATTAATAAAAATTGCTTCACAAGCAACTAAGACACAGTTTCTTATGAGAGGATGAGAAAGAATGACGATAGATCCAGTCATGTGAATGAACTGAAGAACACAGAATATATGAGTAGCTTGAATTTAGTCCTGAAAGTCCAGACTCTGATGATTTGCCGATTTATCTCATTCTAGCACATACAAGTTGTTCTGATGTTGTTACTCCTATGCGTTTGCTGAGTGATCACTGTTTAACACCCACTGGGAATGGCTGTGAATAAGAAATTAGTTAAAATAAAGCACGTGGAGAACACGTATGAGATCAGAATTTTTTTCAACATTTTTAATCTTGGTTCTAAGGGAATGATTTTGCCTTGTTTAGCTTGGAATTTATTTCATCTGTTGAAAATGTAACTTTACATTCTAAATTGGCAAATTCGTAGAAAAACTAAAAAGTGATTCTCAAATACATGTCACTTTCTTATAAATTTTGTACTCTACATCTGTGAGCAATGTAAATCATCTTGGCAATGCTTTAACTTAGTAAACCCTCAGCCATTGAAGGATATTGCAGAGAGAATTATCACATGTCCGCTAAGAATATCATTTCATGATGTATTTATGGCACCTATCACACCTGCCAAAATCATGTGCATACTGGAATATCATTTGTGTTATTAGATTGTTAATCTAAGATTAACAAGGTGAGCCTTTTGGATCAAGATCTTGTTGATAATGACAAAGCCTGAAGTATAAACAATTCAGGGCATAGAAATTGGCTGTTACATGCTTGATACACACAGGCCCATGAGACAAGGAATGCAAAGGTCTTTGGAAACAGAAAAACCTGCAACTATCAACAACAATGCATACCTCAAGCCTGTAGACACAGGACCCATGAATTTTTTTTTCTAAAGATTTATTTATTTTTCTTACAAAGTGAGTTATACAGAGAGGAGGAGAGACAGAGAGAAGATCTTCCATCCGATGATTCACTCTCCAAGTGAGCACAACAGCCGGTGCTGTACCGATCCGAAGCCAGGAGCCAGGAAGATCCTCTAGATCTCCCACACAGGTGCAGGGTCCCAAGGCTTTGGGCCGTCCTCGACTGCTTTCGCAGGTCACAAACAGGGAGCTGGATGGGAAGTGGAGCTGCCGGGATTAGAGCTGGCGCCCATATGG